ATTCCCCCCCCCCCCGCATCGTCCCCCTCAATCGGCACCTCTGTTTTCCCCGTTACCCCCGTAATTTTAAAACACGAGGGAGAAGCACCTAGTGCCACCCTCCCGTGCGAGATAAAGCGGGAAAACATTCCCCAAATTTCCGCATCTCTCCGCAAGAGGTCGGCACATTTCACTGAGTGACGTCACGACGACGCTGGCCCCGCCCCCACGGCGGTGGAGTGAGTCACTGGGATTGGTGGATGGAAATGATGGCAGGCGTGTGTGCCAATCGATTTTGCCGGCAGTAGGCTCAAGCGTACAACGGCCACGAACGCTCGATGGTCGCCTCTACGCCGGTTTGGGGTGCCCCACTGGTGGAGGGGGGGTCAATCCAACGGAGTGGGGGGGCCCTGCGCTCGGTCCTCTCCGCGTTCTCCGTCTCGCCACGTGTGGGGAAGTAGGACGGAGCGATTTGAGTTGCCGTAGTGGGGGGTGAGGGAACGAGGCACCGACCGCCTCGGCAGGAAGTGAGCCCCGAGACCGTGATGAGTGGGACCCCAAGGCGAAACCTACAAATGCTCAGACGGTTCCGTTCTTCCGAAGCGAGTGGAGGTCTATTCTTCGGCATTTTCAAAATAACAAAAAAAAACCCGAAGAATTACCACTGATAAACCAACAATTGTGCGCGATTATTTTAACCGAGTGTACGTCTCAGCGATTGAGGTGTACAACCGAGAAAATAATTAAAAACATTTTATTCAAGTTTCTTTTTAACAATCGGCGAAAGGAGTGGTGAAAACGAGTGCACAACTTGATTATTACAACGGTGAACTTCAACGAGGAGTTATTAATTAAACGAGTGAAAGGAAAGTGTGCGAAAAACGGATTTTAATACTGAAATTGTAAAGACGAAGAATTACAAGAGACGTAAATCGAGAGTGCGCGAGGTAAAAGTTACCTTCCCTTTGTTTACGAAATTGTTATCACCGAGAATTGAGACTGAATTCGGGGAATCAGTTTGAGAACGATAAAGTGTGATGTTTGGGAGTATAAAGTCAGTGGCTTATTACCCCGGTACTATTAAATTTGTGTGTACCAGTGACAATAGCAATCGTGTACACTCGTGTTGACGATTGAAATCAATCAGAATAATCTTCTGAACAATAAGACAATACCAAATGATATGTGCAAGGATAACGAGGAGTATAATCTACCAGTGAGAAGTTGAATAGAGGGACTATAACGATTAAAAATCCACCAGTGAGCACTAAAAGCCCCGGCCTGAAGACACCGTACTCCGTTCTTCGAAGGGTGCCCCCGCGTGTTTACCGATTTCCCTTAACCAGTGAAACTAAACAAGTTTAATTCATCAAGGTAAAATTAAAAAGGCGGCAAACTGTACGGGCACCGAGAGGAAGACATGCTAACGATGGAGACGGACTTGAAGGGCGGCAGCCTGCACGGCCAAATGCCGCCGCACCCACACCAGGGTGTCTCCCCCATGGGCCATCACACCGGTGTCTCGCCATACGGTGCACTAGGCTCAATCGTCCACAGTCCAGCCCTGTCGTCGGGCTCACCGCCTAATTCTGGTCTGGCCCTGACCCTTCAGCACCATCACCAGGCGCAACAGCACCACTACGCATCGATGCAAGCGGTGCAACAGCAGCAACAGCAACAGAGTATGCACAGCTTGGCACAGCAACAGGCTGCCTCGCATCACCCCCATCAGCAGTCGCAGTCGCAAGCCCCTTCGCAGCAATCCAATCAGGGCCAGCAGCACCAAGCGCCCAACAACAACAACAGCACCAACAAGAACAACAACATCGATCGCGTTAAGAGACCGATGAACGCCTTTATGGTGTGGTCGAGGGGTCAGCGTCGCAAGATGGCCCAGGAGAACCCGAAAATGCATAATTCCGAGATATCAAAGCGTCTGGGGGCCGAGTGGAAGCTCCTGAACGAGACCGAGAAGCGTCCGTTCATAGACGAAGCCAAGAGGCTGCGGGCCGTGCACATGAAGGAGCACCCGGACTACAAGTACAGACCCAGGAGGAAAACCAAGACCCTCTTGAAGAAGGACAAGTTCCCCCTGGGCTCGGGCGTCGGCGGTGTCGGGGGTATGCTGGGGGTGGATCAACGCCAAGTCAGCGGAGGCGGTGGTCCACAGCAGAGTCAACTGCCTCGCGATGTCTATCAGATGCCCAACGGCTACATGCCAAATGGCTACATGATGCACGATCCCACGGCTTATCAGCAGCACGCCTATGGGGGACATATGGGAGCTGCGGCTGCTGCTGCCGCTGCTGCTGCTGGATATCCTCGCTACGACATGAGCCATCACATGGGCGGCGGCAGCCCAAGCCCCATCAATAGCTACATGAATGGTTATGGGGGGTATGGAACCACTACGGTACCTGGGGGATCACCCTCACCCTATCATCAGGCACAACCGGGCTCCCAGATGTCCAGTCACAGTCCAAGTGGTAGCAGCATCAAGTCGGAACCAACGAGTCCAGCTAGTGGTGGCATACACACACCAACGCCCACTGGAACGAGTACAGCGAGCAATCAGGGGGTGAAGAGGGAGTACATGGGACAGCAGGGACAACAACCGCAGGGGGATTTGAGACAGATGATCTCCATGTATCTGCCGCAGAGCGGCGAACAGGGAGTTGTACAACACTCGGCTGGAGTTTACTCCCCTGGACCGTCACCCGATCCACTTGCACAGCATCATTCTGTTATACCACCGCTCACTCACATGTAAGCTTTCTTCAATATTACGTTGATTTTGTAGTTGATGGCGGGTCGACCATTTTTTTGAAGACTGGTTAGTTGTTGGGCACTGAGAGAAATATCAACATAATAGCACGAAACTTGGGGATAAACGGGATAAGAATCCCGCGTAATTAGTCGGACCGTGTGAGAATCCTGGGAAATGGTCGTGAGTTGAGCACGAACAGTTGGAGGTGATGTGACGATTTCTTGCCTCAAGAAATCGTTTAGGTTGTGTCAAGTGATGAGGAAATGAATAAGAGTAGACTTTCATTTTGAATAACATATTTTCCTTCTTTCAAACTTAACTTTGTCTCTTCAGGAATATTAACCAATTTCCGAAAAATGTCATTTTTCATTCAGTATTATCCTCCTTTTGCCCAAGGAGCACCGGTTTCTCGTCTGGAGCATCTCCACTCGAGAAATAATTTTCGTCATATCATGTCGATTTTTCTCTCACTGTGGAAAGATTTGTGAAATCAAGTGGATATTGTTTTTTGGACCAAATGTATCAGTCGATAATCTGTGATGATGAAATTGAAGAAATGGTTGATCAGGAGACTCCGCCAGCAGTAGTTCTGTTGTAGAAATTGTAGATTTTTGGAGAGTCTTGATGTACACGATGCAGACACTTATTTTCCAACATAATTGAATTTATATTGACGTTTGTCACTCGAGCGGTTTCTCATTGCCAGTGTTTTTGAAAATATATTTTTCATCAACTCCAGTTCTCTTCTCCTCATTTTTTGAAGCCTCCCTTCTGCTTTACCCTCTGCTCCATTATTCATTGATCTATTGCTGCATGGGGTGTCACGAGCCTCGCTCTCGCCCATTTTTGTTTTTCTCTCTTTTTTTTGGATATGATGATTGTTTGATTTTGAAATTATATTATTTACTTCTGAATTGAAGAAAAAGCTAACGAAAACATAACACTAATCTCGTAGGATAGCTTAGACGCGGATGGACCGAGGCCTGCCAGGGATCTTGTGAAGCATACAGGGATAGTCGTGGGGAAATGCTCGAAAATATTAATAAATCGATAGACAGACGATTCCGGATTTAATAAAAACTCTAAATACACATAAAAAGTGCGGGGAGAAACTGAGAAAGAGTTAATTGAGAGAGAAAAAAGGGTTGGAAAGAGGGCACGTGGGAGCCTGCGGAACAGCAAAAACACGTTTCCACAGCGAGGATTTAAACGTCGAGGGAGCGAATCATTCTCAAGCATCATCAGCCTCAACTTGTTCATCAGTTTCATGCTGAGAAAGTCAAAAAAAGCCCAGAACACAAAAAAAGCAACGGGAGAAGAAAAAAACAGAACGAAAAGAACAGAAAAAAAAACATTTTCACTCGAAATTTTCGCTGCGGAAACGAGTCTCTTCCGCAAACTCCCACGTTAAATCTTCAAGGGCCATTCAGTGAAGAATAAAAACAGCAAAAAACGTCAATACAAGTAAATTTAAAGAAACAAATAAAACCAATGAGAGAAATAAAAGTAATCGTATATTACGGCCAGACTCGTTTTCCTCCAGTAACCACTGTGATAATAACAATAAACGCGCTTCAGTATGATCGAACGAACGGGGAAACGAACCGGCATAAATGTGTGTTTTTTTTCTTCTCGAGGGAGGATAAAGTGAAAAAATAAAATAGAGAAAACAATAATCAAGAATGAAAAATAATTGATTGAGTATGAAAAAAGAGCTAGGGTCGTGGCTGGGAATGCGACGTGAAGTTTAATTAAATATAGTTAACGCTAATCTAACTGTAAATATTATTTATAAATATAGTATACATAGACTAAAGAAACTTGCGTGTATATATTATATATTAATTTTTCTCGCTACCGGTATTAGACGAAAGAGAATCAAAGAATGAGGACGAATAATTGAGAGTGACTCGTGTCGAATTCCGTGAAAAATTCCTAAAATTAACATGAAAATTAATGAGAGAGAGGTATTCGTCTCCCACCCCCGTGTGTGTAAATACTTAATCAGATGTTTAAACTATTGATACTTGAAGGAATAAAAGAGGAAAGCAAAAAGTATATATGAAATATATATCGATTACGATTGCATATATTCGAGGACAGACGTTTATATTATCATTTATCATTAATGTTAATTGTGTCATAATCACATCAGTGCCCTTACATAATCTTTAATTATTAATCATTAATTATTAACTATTATTCAATATCATAATATTACGAATGCTCATTATTGTTTCCATCATTTTTTATTTTCATCACCCTCTTATTATCCTGTCCAATTCTCCCTGAATCACTCACAAATCACTCAAGTATTATTACGTTATTGATTAGTTTAGTATTATTTCTCTCGCATTATTAACATTTTGTTCTTCTTTGGACGATATATTTGTCATTTACTGATCCATGACTGTGATCCCATAGGACCTATCGGACGACGTTTGCCCCATTTTTTTATCCATACGCGCAAGAACGACTTCGAGCGCTCGAACTCTAGAATAGAGTTGTATAAAAAAATAATGACACGACATCACACACACTCACACGAGGACAGAGCGAGAAAGAGAGAGAGAAAGAGATGAAAAAAGATGGAGAGTAAAAAGGAAAATTTAAGTTATTGTGGCGATGCTCGAGGGGTGGTGGCAAAGGCGGACACCATGTTGTTTTATTTTATTTAGCGTGAAATTTGGACACGAATTTGGTTAAAAAAGCAGTTGATTGAATGCAAAAAGTGAATGGAGAAACGTTAGAGAAAATAATGAAATAAGAGGATAATGAAATATAATAGATAGATATGTATGTTTTTTTTCTTTCTTATTATGTATGATGTTTGTATATAGACGAGCACACACTTGGCTGCGTGTAGAGTATCGATTGAAGGAAAAAACAATAGAGAGAATAGTTGTGAACAAAATTTAATTAATATTAAATGATAATGATTATCAAAATTATTTGCATTTGATATATATTTTTTCCTCTTTCCTCATTTCCTCTGATTCTCTCTTGCTCGCTGGATTCACATCTCCCAGTGTCCTCCAGTATTTTATTTGTGTTATTTGAGAGATAAATAATTGAAATAATTGAAATGTTAAAATCTTGTGAAATGAAGATTCTGAAAATAAGAGAGATTGGTTCATGTGAGAGTTGTCTTGTAATCAGAGATGCTCATGTACAGAATATATAATCACTTGTGGATATTCTAGATGCGAGGAAAATAACATCCTGTATATATCATGTTCTCTTTGTGCTAGAGTTTAGGCTCTGGATTACGAAAAACGTATATTATATAATTCATTAAGTGCATTTAATTGTGTTTTCAATTTTACGTAAATACCCACACATGAGTCATATCCTATTCACGAGTCCTTGAGTTCAATGGTTGAAATGATCCTTGGGAGGCGAAATTCATCAGGTAATTATGAATTAACAAGAATTAATTTATTTCACTAACTTTCCTGAAAACTCCGGCATTAGTCGATTTTTCACATGTTTTTGACGTTTGAATGACCTCGAGCTAACGAAAAAAACTTCACTGAGTTCATGAAATAGATAAAAAAAATTATTCAAATCATTTTTTACATTCTTTAATTTGAAAAAATAGTCTTGATATTTTTTTTTATTTCTCTTCAGGGGAAATTTTTTGCTTTCATCGAAGACATGAATATATTTGGTTTTTCTATTTTGTTTAATTTATTTTCCTGACCCCCCCCCCCTCCTCTCCTCTTCGATATCGAATGCAACAATCCGCAATGCCACACGCAATTACCTTTAACTAACCAATAACAAGTGGGAAATTGCTTTTGCCTTCTATAGCCTGACTATATTTGCTGATAAATTAACAATATGCTTCTGAATGGCCATTTACACACCATTTTCTTCCATCATACACTGTTTAACGTTTTATATTATGTTGTTCAAGTGAATTATGTTTCTTCTTTGATCAATTGTGTAGGATTTTTGAGAAAATTCTGGTATAAATGAAATGAAAGAATGATATGGTCTATATACCATCGTATATAACATGGAATTTGATTTAGGGAAGTTTCATAGTTTAGTAATTATCCTATTTATCGTAATATTTTTATGAAATGAGATTGAAAAATCTTTTTTCATGCGTAATTGAATCAATTTGCAACATCATATCTGAAGAAACGGTTGGAAAATTAACTTTCAGGGAAATTTCCGAAAAAATTTTAATTTGGGAAATCATAAAAAAAAAGGAACGCATATAACTATCGTAATGATCTTCTAACTCCGACGGGCTGGCAGTGAAGCCCATATTTTGAGCGATAATTTAATTAATTTGACGCATGATATCTAAAAATATCTCCAAAATTCTCAGTTTAAAAAAATACGAAATTTTTTTGGAAAATTGTTTTATAAATCAGAACAACGATTGTTAGTCTAAACTCTATTCATTATTAATCACTTAAACTATGAATGTATCGAGTTGAGGGAGGAAGACTAAACTATGAAACTTCCCTAAATCAAATTCCATGTTTGGCTGAATATCCGTAAGAAATTATCTCTATTTTGTAATTTCAAACAACAATAATTGTTTTTTTTAAGCAGAATAAATCGTTTGATTTGACTGCTTATAATAACAAAAACGATTATTACTATCATTTTCATCTTTGAACACTGTTAATAAACGGACATGGACAAATTTTTTTACAAGCTATCATTTAATGAATTCGAAACATTTATTTTCAATTATCGCGGGACAATCGGTTTTTAAAAAATTTGGAAATTCTAATAATTAATACACGAATTGAATTTCAATCAATGTTGATGGATAAGGCTCACCAATAACTACATTTGAAAGAACAAAATCATTAAATTCCATCGATTCATTAGCGAACAATTAACGAAACGTTTGATCCCATTCATACATACACACACATACATACGGAGAGGATCTAAAAATTATATTTTCGGACTTTTTTTTATCATAACAGGTTGATATTCCTAAAGAAAAAGCATGGGCGATACCTCGAATCAAAAACGACTACTCGAACATGAAGTTCATCTCAAGCGAATGTAGAAAGTGAGGCGGTTTTCATGAGTACAATCATCTTGCGTCGAATCTTCATGTAGCCCGCCTACAAAACAAAAGAGAGTTGAATGCCATTCTATGAAACATGAATAAACGAATCATTATCCAAATCATTTAGGTCAGAGGAAAATAGAATAATTCAACTTTCTTAATATTGCGTTTACTAAAGTTTTCTTCGAACAAAGTTGATTAGAATTAATAGCTAGAATTATGAGATTATCTCACATTTTTTACGTTAAGGATAGGAGAATCTGAATGCAATATAGTGAAAATGATGGTCGATTTTTCACTTTGAACAAATAATATTAATATCCAAATACAAAATTTCTGATATGAATAAGAAGCTGTGACTCAATATTCCAAATGAAGTTTTAATTTTTAATTTGGTGCTTAAAACACGAGATGACAGTATTCTACGCACGCAATTATATTGATGAGATGAACAACAGATCAATTTAATTACTGTGTGAACTGACTAAAAATTGATAACAATGTAGGCACGCACTTTTACCAGAGTATCAACAAACATTGAATTTCAGAAATTCGCACTCTAAAGTGTGCTCTAAAGGAATTGCATTGTAATTATGATTAAAATCTTATTCAGTGAGCGTAGGAATTGAAACATGAGCAAATCATTTAGTGTAATATGAAAATTTAACAGCTGATAAATTGGGACATATGATTCTCATCGGTCGTATTACTTTTTGCAATGAGAATGATTATAAACAATTAATCGAAAAAAGGAATATCGAATCGGACAGGAAAAAGAGCGTCCAAAACTCAAAATTTAAGGATTACAGAGCTTCCATTCGGAAGAAAAAACATGTATCCTCGGTTTTGAGAGCTCACGAGGCATGTTAACCGTCATTAATGTGTACAGCGTCCCGCTGAAGTACTTTCAATTATCCGCATTTGTCTAACCAGCCCTCTGGTAGAGAGGGCCTCGCTGACACGGGCGAACGAGCGTGCATGCTTTTGCTGACTCCCAACTGGTGAACTATACCCCCTCTGCATCACAATCGCAGGGCTAGCACGTTTCTGCGATAAAAATGTACATAAATACAAGCGACAAGGCTCTTTCCTTTACTTAGAACGAATTATAGCACTCGGCTTGTGCCACGAGTCTTTCATCGCGAGAATTATTTTTCGGAAAAATCCGGGTTTGGATGAAAATAAATATTGTTTATACCTTCACGCACTCCTTTGAAGTGGATTTTCTTTGTTCATTTTTATCGGGATTTGTCGAGTTGCGAATGGCTTTGGTCATTAACAGGTTTTAGAACGATATCTTTATTTTTTACTTCGTGATTACAGAAATAATTCAGTTACCTATGGAATAGTTATACAGTAGAGGCTTCGTATAAGATACCTCTCTATAAGATATCTGGCGCTCCGAGCGCTCGAGGCCTACCCCCACTCCCGGCACTTTTATCGCCTCCCGAATGTTTATGTTTCGTGGGATTCTTATAAGATACCTATGGCCCCGGTCATTTTTCAAATTGAGTTTTCTCGTTTGGCTCGTATGGCTCGTGCTTAGTTAACACTTTGTGCATCCAGTTTTCCTTCAGAAAGATTGTTTTCAAAGGCTGGTCTCATCATCAGAAAACACCGGAGTCGATTGAGCAACAAAAATGTTGAGTGCTTGCTGCGTATGAATATGGTTCCCATCTCCACTATCTCCAACAATGAAAGATGCGCTATTCGAGAAGAAAGATTAATATAATCAAGGAATACATAATTCTTCACAATATCCAGGGATAGATAAAGTGTTATTTAACAAAATGGCCTTATATTATTGATGACTTGAGAGTTTTTGACTAATTTTTTGATTAATCATTTCTTTCTTGTTCCATATCACTTTTTTTCTCTTGCCTCTTGTGAGCTTCCCTCTTGTCTTGTCTTGTCCTTCTTATCAAGAGAAAAATCTGTCTCTTATCTTGACTCTTGCATCAGTGCTCGTGTCTTATCTTGTTTCTCTCGCGCTCTTGCGACATCACTAGTCACTATGCATCTACACAGATGTCGTGACAACAATTTGAATATATAATGGACGCGTTCGGCAAAATTTTACTTTCATTCTCCCCCATGACCTTCAGGTGAGTCCTTTAATAAAAAATCCAGTGTCACTTTTTTTGAAGCCAATCTATTCGGCGTATTGTATCATTAAATTTTTCGTATATGATGATAGTATACATTAAAGATATTACCATAATACTTTACTATGTTATATTCCATACTATACTATATTATAATACATTGTATAATGTATTATATATATATAATCTATTATGTAATATATAATATGTAGTATATAATATATATAATTTAATTTTTTTTATTATGCACATTATATTTTAATACATATAGTATTGTCTTACATGTTGTATATTGTACATAGTATATATAATATAGTATAGTATTATCGTAATCTCTTAAATGTATGCTATCATCATTTATAAAAAATCTAATGACACAATACGCCGAATAGATTGGCTTCAAAAAAAGTCACACTGGATGTATTCTATCCTATCGTAATATAAAAAAAAACAGAATACATTCCTGCAACTTTTCCTTCGGAAACTTTGATATTAGCTTCAGAAATGTAATATACGATTATTCACTACAATTGACTTATATTAAGGGTGCCAAGTGAATTTGGCGATGACCTTGAAAATTGACATTCACCAACAAAGTTATAATTTTTTTAATTAATAGTATTAGACAGATGGTGAACATCGGTGACAATTTTAAAATTTCAGAACTTATGGATATCGAGAAATTAAATAAACAAAATCAGTCTTATACACGGCCTCTTATGGAGTTTTGATTAAATTGAACGTTTCAACCCCCTAGGAACTCAAGAAAAATTTGAAAAAATTTGAAGATATGGGGAATGATGTGTTCAATGTGATGGCGACAAAAAACAATGGGGAACCGGGGTGAATAAGAGAGATATTTCAACCCGCCGCACCCATTTGCTCCCATGCTTTCTCGAGGTTCGTCACGCGAAATAGAGGATTTTCCGCATTTATTTTCTCGATGTCTAGTTCCGATTGCGGGTTTGAAATTTCATCGGATGGATGAATACATTTTTCTCCAATGATGGAGGGAAAGAAAAAATTTTTTTTGAATCTTTTTTCAAATTCACTTGGCACCCTTAAGCCTCATGGCGGAGGACATACGCGCGCGGACTAATCTAGTGCAAGAAAAAAATACGATACGGGTTTAGGAAATTTTGTTGTACAGG